TGACTTGTTTCGCAAGTTATGACAGATAAAAGTATTGAAAATTGTGACCCTTTGTGGGTGAGGTACCAGAAGGGGTTCGCAGATATATAGCATCTTCTCAACAGATCTTGTATATACAAAAATGTTTTTATGTGTAAAAATTTAAGAGAGTTGAATGCTTATTCCGCTCTCTTTGAGCGTCTTCTTTTTTAAAATCCTAAACCCGGAGGAACCAGAAGAAATGGTCCAATCTCTACCATCTTTATAAGAGATTTTGTGTTGATGGAAATATTGAGATGTACCAAGTCTGGAATGGAATCGGGTGTTGATTTCGCTTTTTATAAGCTTCATGGTCAGGCTTAATCCCCCTATTGTTGTTTTTATAAAAACAACATTCGTTTATTAGTGGAGAACGATGGTAATGTTTACCAGGGGTTTGGTTTATTTACCTCATAGAGAAAGAATCATTTGATTTTGTGCAAGCTTTGCAAATACCAATATTTTCGTCAGTGCTACGTCAGTTGCGGAAACCGGGTCAAAACTTTGAATAGCCATAAAGCTCTTAAAACGAGAAATAAGCATCCATTATTTCCAAACTCAGCATATTTCAATACTTCTATCAACAGAATTATAATGTGAATATGTATCAAATTGGTCAACTTTTCAAAATTTTGAACAAGTATATCTCTCATAAAATGCGAAATAAGTATGAAATTCTCTTCATATATATATCCCAATATTTTTTTTAGCACAATATCTAGTATGAATATTGGACATATCGGTCCACTCCATCTGGTACCTCCCCCACAAATTTTAAATTTTGAATATCCGAAATTAGCATCCGATTCAAACTCGACACATCTCAATAGAATCAACAGAAGATCTGGTGTGGTACCAAAAATTTCACGGGTTGGAATACTTTTAGCTTTCGTAATGTGCGAAACATTAGGAAACCTAATTTTCTTTAAATTTTGCGCAACTACATATTTTTATCAGTATTATATAAATTGGTATGCTTTGGTCCAATATATCTGGTACATCACGCATGTTTCAACATTTTCCAAAAATATCTCATATAAATCGAAGGAAGTAGTCAATATTGTCTAAATCGGGCACATTGTAATATTTTATCAGAGTCAGTTCAGATGAGAAGTGAATAATATTGATCCACTCCTCCGGTATCTCCTCCATAAAGGGTCAACTTTGTGAATAATCACAATGCAAGTCAAAATATATTTTGTTTAACTGATAAAAGCTGAGGGCATACACCTGTCGGTAAATTGATACTTTTTAATTTGTTTACCTCATAAATCTATTTAGTATAAGTAAAGTTTTAAAAAAGGCAGGTGTAATTTTGATTGGGAAAATTTACGTAAACATCTTCTAATCAATCTTTCCTAAAGCACAGAATTTTGATCAGAAAATCCATACTTTGGCAAACTTTTGCTTTTTATTCGAAAACGTATATTCCTATGTTACCCTGTTTAAAAAATCAAGCCTAAAAGTATGCTTTAAACTATAGTGCTTATTATTGTACAATGGAGTTTACTTATAAAAGTTATGTATATAGCGACACCCTGTAAAGTAAAAAGAATGAACATCAAATGAAAGAAGATTGTAAATTGTGATAAGCAAATAAAAAAAGCTTCGGAAAACACCCCCCCAAATTGTCGATCACCTCAAGCAAGCACTTCGCCGGGAATGGGTCAAAATAACGCAGAGCAACATTCGGGAAGCGTGTTATAGTTTCATTGGCCATTTGAAGGCCATACTTCGTACCAAAGGAGACCAATGCGAATAAATCTAAACTTATTCCAAAATTTGATGCTATTTCCGACATTTTTTGCTTTCATTCAATAAAATTTAAAAACAAGTAAAATAAACATTATGTTCGGCCGGGCCGAACTTTTACTACCTTAGGGTAAAGGAAACAATAGAACCCATTACGACCTACAAATACAAATTTTTAGACATATTCATGGGAAAATGTGGCAAAAATAATAAAAACATTGAATATCGGGGGGTATCGCTATATGAGGCTATACAAAAACGTGGACCTATACATATAATGTTTCGCCAAAGAACCTTTAGCCCAATAGGACCCACAAATACCAATTTTTAGACAAATCCGCCATGAAATGTGGCAAATATGGGGATTATACCAAAACGTGGACCAATATATCTCATTTTCAATACCAACCATATTAGACACAGTACATGTTGTTCTGCAACATGACGCTCTACGTTAAATAATGTGGGCTGTATTGTGATTTCAACAGACGGACAGACAGACTGACGGACATCATTAAATCGACGTAGAATTTTAAGGTGACTATGAATATATATACTTTATGGGGTCTACGACGAATATTTAAGGATGTTACAAACGGAATGACAAAGCTAATATACCCTCCTTTCCAATGTGGAGGGTATAAAAAATTTAAAAAAAATTGCGTTTGGCTTTGTTGCAGTTTTTTATCTCACCCTGTAAAGGGATACTGTCAGCTCTTAAGTTTAAATTTAACAAGTAACAAGTAAAAAACATTAAGTTCGGCCGGGCCAAACTTTTAATACCCTCCACCTTAGGGTAAAGGAAACATTAGAAGAAATGTGGCAAAAACCATTAAAATGCCGAATATCGGGAGGTACCGTTATATGTGGGCTCTACCAAATCGTGGACCTACACATGCAAGGTTCCGCCAACGGAGCTAGAACCCATTATGACCTACAAATACCAATTTTCAGACAAATACGTGAAAAAAAGGGGCAAAAATCATCAAATTACCGAATATCGGAAGGTACCATTATATGAAGGCTATACCAAAACGTGGACCTATAGATGCTATATTTTGCCACACATACAGGGACCCGTTATGACCTACAAATACCAATTTTCAGACAAATCCGTTAAATAATGTGGCATAAATCATCAAAATACCGAATATCGGGAGGTACCGTTATATGGGGACTATACCAGAACGTGGACCGATATATCTTATTTTCAATACCAACCATCCTAGACACAATACCAATTGCTCTGCTAAATTTTGGCGCTCTACGTCAAATAATGTGGGCTGTATCGTGATTTCAACAGACAGACGGACAGACAGACAGACAGACAGACGGACATCGTTAAATCGACTTAGAATTTTATGCTGATTATGAATATATATACTTTATGGGGTCTACAACGAATATTTAAGGATGTTACAAACGGAATGACAAAGTTAATATACCCTCCTTTCCAAGGTGGAGGGTATAAAAAAGCTGTAACTTCGGCCGTGGCGAACGTTGAATACCCCCACCATTTGGAACGAATTTAGCAATTTTCAAATAAATAAAATCCGTTAAAAATGTCATTAAAATCTTAAAAATACCGAATGTAGCCATTATATTAGGGTCTATACGACAACGTGGGCCTGCATAGGCAACTTTTGTCATAAGCCATTACAATATTCAAATGCGAAAATTGAAAAAAAATGTCGGTGAGTAATGTAATGTACCTTTACAGGGGGCCTATACGACGACGTGGAACTGCACAGACAATTTTCTATCATAGGCTGTAATATCCACTTCGAACTTCAAAATGCCAAATTTGAAACAATTCGGTGAATAATGTCGCTAAAATCATCAAAATGCCGAATATCAGAAGGTACCGTTTTATGAGGGCTATACGAAAACATGAACCTGCACGGACAATGTCCCGTTATAGGCTGTGGTATTCATTGCGAACTTCAAATACCAAATTTGAAACAATTTCGGTAAAAAAGTCGCTAAAAATCATCAAAATACCGAATATCGAGAGATGCCATTATATGGAGGCTATACCAAAACGTGGAACTACATGGCCCTTTCTTAGTAAAAAAAGTCCTGCAGACATAATATACATTTCAACAAAATTTTATTAACCTACTTCCTTTCGTCTGGAAGCTAGAGTGATTTCCACAGACGGACGGACGGACATCGCTAAATCAACATAGAATTTTATGCTGATCTAAAATATATATACTTTGTGGGTTCTAAAATGTACATTTCGAAGTGTTACAAACGGAATGACAAACTTAATATACCCTCCATACTATGGTGGAGGGTATAAAAATTGCTGTTACATTTGTCATTATAATATAAATAATATTTTCCGAAAATGTTCCAAAAATTTGCATAATATACAAGATACCAGATTTATCCAATTTTTGTACTTCAATTTCATATGATTTCGATAACAATTTCCATTATCGTTTTAGATATTAAAAATTAAAAAAACTAGGCATTTCTGTCGAGAACATCGAACTTTAATAACAGGGTTTAGGGCCAATCAAAGCGGGCCTCTTCAACAGGTTTGTTGTATTTGAACAAATTCTACAAAAGATCAATGACACCCACGTTTTCTACCGACCACGGACAGCTTGGAGTTTGTCTATGCACCATATTTTCCCCTCTCTTTTTATGAATAGCAGAGACTAGTCTGTGACGTAGCCTAACACGTTTTTTACCACTTTCTTATGGATCAGTTTTCTAAACAAAATGAATGTTTACATACGTATGCACGTGTGTGGTTGCTTTTCTGACTTTCTTTTTATGTTTCATTCATTGAACTTGTTTTTCTCTTTGTTGTGGTTGTTGTTGTAATACTATATTTCTAGTATTGTTTAGTTTAAAGGTCGCTTTTGTTGTTATTTCCAGCCTTAGTGGTTGTTGTACGATTAAAAATGCACTGAGTCGGAATGCCAAACATCTGAATTAGATTAGAGAGTGATTAACAAGGGGAGAGAAACTGAGAGAGAGAGAGCTAGTTGGTAAAACCAAGTAGTTCAATGGCTAAGGTGAAGAACAAGCTGGTGGTGATTGATCGCAGCGAGTTTCTTAGTTTGAAGCGTTCGGCAGACACAGCACTGACCAATGCGGTTAAGACTAACGGAAATAAGTGTCGTATTTTGGTTTCTCTGTTTTCATTTCTTTCTCTCTCTCTCTGTTTCTATTTTCATTAGCTTGGAACTAAATTTCAATATCAACAAATCTTTTCGCTTTGTTGCCACTGTCATTGCTGTTCAAGTGTTTCGTGCGACCAGAAGTGTGCGTGTGTTTATTTTTTGCTGTTGTTTTTATTTTTGTTTGACAATGGGAAAAACTTTAATCTTTTTAAATCTATTGCTAATACCAATTATCATATTTAGCATATGGTCAAAAAATGAAACCGAAACGATAAATACGGTGAGTTAGCATATTTTTTAGATCAACTGATGTGCCATCTTCACTAACACAATGGCTTAGGAAAGTTTGTGAAATATTGTTAGAATTGTCCAGCGATCGACGCATCTGAATTGTTCAGTGAAAAAATGTAATTTTAAATAAATTTATCAATACCTTGGCAACATTCGGCTCCAAAATCATTGTTATTGCCTATATTCAGTAACCATGGAGGTGAATGGCATTATATTTTGTTCATTGCTGTAAAAGTGCCACCTGAACTTTCTTTCAATTCCAAGTAATTTCCATAAAGAGAACAAGTAAAAAAGCAGTTAGATCTGCGGGTCGAACTTTTAATAATCTACACCATTTGGAAATTAAAACTATGTTAAAACTCTTTAAAATACAGAATATAGGGATTTACCGTTATTTTGGGGCCTATACGAAGACGTGAACCTGCGGTTTTCTATCACTGCCTGTAGTTCCAATTACGAACTTCAAATACGAAATTTGAAACCATTCCGGTGAAAAATGTTGCTAAAACCATAGAAATACCGAATATAGGTAGGTACCGGTATATGAGGGATATTCGAGAATGTGGACCTGCATAGGCAATTTTATGTCACAGACTGCAGTACCCATTACGAACTTACAATACCAGTTTTGAAACAAATTCGGTGAATAATATCGCTTAAATTATTAAAATACCAAATAGATGGGTACCGTTATATGGGGCTATATGAAGACGTGAAAATGCATAGTAAAATTTCTGTTATAGCTTGGAGCAACCATTAGGAACTTCAAATACAAAATTTGAAACAATTCCGGTAAATAATGTCGCTAAAATCGTCAAAATGACGCATATCGGGAGGTACCGTTATATGAGGGCTATACGAGGACATAAACCTACATGGCCCTACATGGATTTTTTAATTTGAAAATTGCCAATTTCGGACCGGCCGAACTTACAGCTATTTTACTAGTTATTATTTGGTAATGGCAATTTTTGGTAGGACTTTATGCTTTTCCAGTCCAATAAATTTTAAATTTGCCTTAAATTAAAACAATTTTATCTATTTTCAAAAAATATAACATTCTTCGACTAGAAGCTGTTGAAAAGTATTTTTTGAACGAACCATAATTCTTTTCTAAAATACCCTTTGAAAAAAATGAAAATTTTGAAAAATTATTAAATAAAAGTTAGAAGACAAGACCTTTAGTCAAAGTTTTAATACGAACGAGGTATAGAAGACGTGAATACTTATTTTTTCAAAATATTACCTTTTTTGGTGAGGTTGCAAAAGAAAAATTGCATTGTCTTGGCCATATTTTTCAATCGATTTGGGTGAAAATTAGTATTTTGATTTCTCCGTGGGTAGAAAACTTTCCGACAGAAGATTTTTATTATAAAAACAGTATGCAGGACCCTTATATAAAAGTGTCATGATATTAAAAGTTAAACTGGGAATCAAAAAGGTTTTTACCCTCAAGTTAAAACCAAATCGATTAGAAAATATTATCAAGACCTTCAGAATAATTATCTCTATATAAGGGCTGTACCGAAAGGTGTACCTATATTGATAATTTTTTTATAAATAGCATTTTTACATAATAAGAACTCAAAATGCCAGAATTTTGGAAATAAAATTGAGGACATGGCCAAAATGCTAAAAATACTTGAAATCAAAATAATCCATACATGGGGCCATACCAAAAAGTGGACCAATATGACACATTTGCTTTACTAATAATTCTGGTTGTAATCCAAAGATCTCTCACAAATTTCAAAATTCTATCCTAAATGTTGCCTCATAGTATAAGGGTCCAATTTTTATATGGTCAATATTATATAAACCTTTAACAACATTAGGCCTAAGAACCCGAAATTCCTTTGAGGTTTTTATCTACAAACGAGCATTATCAACTTCACTTGAAAATTTCCACAACCCAGATAGGATATTTATATAACGGAATTTCGTATTACTTTTAGGTGTCATCTCGAAAAAGGGCCGAGGAAAAAATGTATCGATAAAATAAAGAAATATTTTTCTCTGACGTCATTCTTATAAAGCGATGTTTTTATTTATTTAATTTTGCATAAACTCAGACAAAGTACGGCTTTTATACTAATATGTGTTTTTAATATATATTTGAATTTCTAGCGTTTAGGAAAGATTAAAACTTTTGATGTCTTCTAGGACCTACAGTATAATTTAATGACAAATATTTTTGTAGAATATTTTTTACTTGCTGCGATAAAGTTATGAGGAATTTGTTTAAATATATTTTAAAAACGAACCAACTCGCTTGAGGGATAAAATTTTCGACCAAAGCCCATTCTCGTACTTTAATCTGCCGTATCACCAAGCCCTCTATATAGGTAAAATCAAAAGATTCCAGGAAATCTTAACTTTCTCTGATCTCTAATTTCTTAATCTACTGGATCGAATTATTGTAAATATTGAGTTTTGTCGTACAGTGATTTGATATTCGAATTAAAAAGAGTGCACCTTACGATGTATATGGTATCAACATATTTTAAGCTTTTTGTGGCGATAATACCTTTTTACAACATATCTAGTTACGGTTTCATGTAATGTGGATTTTGGACATTTGTATAACAAATTTTTAAGCCCACGAAACAAATGTACAACTTAAATATATGCTATACGATATTATATGTTTTTTTTTTCTACATTTATACTAAAATTACTATCTATATATATAAAAATCAATTGTTGTTCTTTGGTAATGGAATCAGTTGAGAACGGCAGGACCGATTTGCATTATTTTTTTTTTGTACAAACGTTCGTTATACCCTGAGTTAGGTTTTTAAATAAAAAAATGTTGACCACGCTTACTTTTACCCCCACTATTTCGATTTATCTAAAATCCTTATATTTGCCAAAATAATGAAGATATCGGTTTGAAAATTATTACAAAACGGAATTTCCATCCAACCCTAAGTATTTATTTGGGGCAGAGGAACTGACCACAACTACTTTTTAATCTATATATATATATAAAAATCAATTGTTGTTCGTTGGTAATCGAATCAGCTAAGAACGGCTGGACGGATTTTAATATTTTTTTAAAATGTTCATCCTACCCCTATTTTGGTTTTTATGCAGAGGAAAAGTGACCACGCCTACTTCTACACTCATTTTTTTCGATTTACCTAAAATCCTAGTTAGCATATGACGTACTCTTGACTCTCCCTCCAACCCTAGGTATCTGTTTGGGTTCAGAGGAACTGGCCACACATACTTCTTTAAATTTATATTTTATACAATTTAAAAAATATAATAACACATCAGTTGAGAACTGCTTGTCCGAATTGACTCAAATTTTCTTTTTCTTCTTTTGTAATTATAGTGGAAACGTTTTCACGAATGAACATTTTGAAGAAAGCCTCTAGAAAAGCGCGGAAGTGAAAAACTCTAATTTTCTATTTTGATAAGCAATTTGTGTAGCATTGTTTCTGAATGCCATTTGGAATTGGAAATTCTTTTTAAAAAAAAATATCGAGACATTTTGCAAATTCTATATCTATAAAAGAGGAAAATGTTTTTATGTTTGTAATTTATGGATTCGAAAACCGCTGAACAGATTTTTCTGAAAATGTCCAAGTATTCTACAAGATTGCCTGAAAGTAACATAGGCTATATACGTTTTTGAAATTCCACTTGAAACTGGAGATATAGCATCAAAATCGGAGGTACTTCCCCAATATTCAGGTTTTATATGCACATATTTACTGATCGATTACAAATTTGGAATGAGTAAGGGAATTTTAAACAAAAATAAGTTTGCCAAATTATATTGAAATCGGTTCAGATTTGGATATAGCTCCCATATATATTTTCGGCCGATTTCAAGCATTTGATGCACCAAACACGCTATGTATCCCCAATTTCAATGAAATTTGAAACGTGTGATAGATTTTATCTAAAAAATTGATTTCCCAAATTATATTGAAATCGGTTCAGATTTGAATATAGCTCCCATATACATTTTCGGCCGATTTCATGTATTTGGTGGACCAAACACGACATGTATTTATTCGACATGTATTATTTCCAATGAAATTCGGTATGAGTGATTAAATTTGGTACAAAAATGTATTTGTCAAAATATAGTGAAATCGATTCAAATTTGGATATAGCTCCCATATATATTTTCTGCCGATTTTACATATTTGTTGCACCCAACGCAATGCGTACGTCCGATTCAAAAGAAATTTGGACAGATGGACGAAATCTGGTACAAAAAAAGGCCAAATTATATTGAAATCAGTTGAGGTTCGGTATAGCTCCCATATATATTTCGGCCGATTTCATGTATGTTATGCACCAAACACGATATATATAACCGATTCCAATGAAATTCAGAATGTGTGGCGGAATTTGGTTGCAATAATAAAATTGATGAATTAATTAGAAGTCGTTTCAGGTTTGGAGCTCCCATATACAACCAAAAAAAATTTGCCAAATTATATTAAAATCGGCAGATTTATATATTTATATAAATCAGCCGATTTCATGTATGTTGTGCACCAAATTTGTCAAATTAATTGGAAATCGGTTATGATTTGGATATGTATTCAAATATATATTTTCGTCGAATTCACGTATTTAACGCACAAATTTCAATGAAATATGGAAGGTGTGACGGAATTTGCTGTAAAAGCAGATTTTGTAAAATTATATTGAAATCGGCTCAGATTGGGATATGATTTTATTAAGAAGCATTGACCCACAACGCTTGCAATGGTATTAGGCTAAGAGTAAAAAACTACACAACGATTTAATTGATATACGATTATTACGGGGAAGTATGTTGCTACGTCGAATTCTCTAATTGCAGCAGAAATGCCACTCAACTTCTAAAGATTGCAGTTTCCTGCACGCTTGGCATTTGCAATGAAATCAATAAATCCGAAGGACAAATCCTTCGTATATGCGGACAAAATTTGGCATGTTCCTGCTTTTCTCATGGTCAGCTGTTCCTGTCATGTTCACGTGTTGGTAGACCGAGCTATTTGTTTATTTACGCATTACCATATTACGACACTTTTTTAATTTTTGAATTTGTTTTATTTTTTTTTTTTTTAAGCTAACAGTCGCTTATAAAATTTTGAAGGCATATAAAATCAAAGGGGTTAGCGAAGCGCACCGGGTTCAGCTAGTAAATATATATTTCCACCATGTAACAAGTGTTCCCGTTTTTGGTTTTAAAAAAACTATGGGGAGTGTCTAAAAGTATGCTATAAAAAGATTGGAATTTCATATATTCCGAATGTTATGATAATTTAAAATTATAATCTTTTGTTGGAGAGGTACCAGAAGGAATATTTAATTTTTCTCACCTGACCTCACTTTCTAAGCAATATTTCGATATGTAAAGTTTGGAGTTAGTTTTGAACTCCAGCAGCTCCGTATATGATATTTATAGTGTTTTATTTTTAATTTATAACCGTTAATAGGGAAGGTATTAGAAAGAGTGAACGGAAAAATTGAACTTGATTGGGGTATTTATCGGAAAGAGTGGACCAACATATCCAATTTTAAGACTTGGTATAATATTGACAAAATATTGAACATTGAAAATTGAGTTATTAGTGTGAATTTTAAGTTTTTATTTACAAAAAAAAAAAAAAAAAAAAAAAAAACAAGTAAGCAAAGGCTATAGTCGTGCGGGGCCGACCATGTGATACCCTACAACACTACACTATGTTAGAAGCCCTCTTATGTCCAAATCCATTTTGGAAGATTTCGCTTTTGAAATTATGTCACGGAGCACTGCCCAGACATTAGCATTTTACCAGGGACATTTGCCCAATATTTACGCACTCCGTCGTGCTTCCTACTCAGACGTGTCGATTGGCTTCAATTGTGTGATCAGGAATTTTTTCTGTTTTTGGTTCACTTGAGCCCCTAAATATTTTTCGATCATCTCCAAAAGCAAGAGGCCCCTCTTTATCTCCAAATTTAGATTCATCTATACGATTTGCTTGTCTACGAAATTTGCCTATATTCGTCAACGAAATCAGCATAAAAGAGCCAGAAGTTCCCCTTTTGTGTATTTCGGATATCGCCTATAAGTAATGCTAGTATTTTTTCAAAACTAGTGGTCCATTCTACCCGCTGTCCTAAACTCTAACTTCATGCGAGACTTCGTGTCCTTTGGTTTCTATTTGTGTCCTTGTGCCCGGCTGCAAAATCAGGAACAATTTTAGATGTTGGTCCATTTCAACCTCTAAATATATTGCGCACATCTTTGAAAACAATAGGCCTAGCTATTCTGAGTCTATCCCTACCCTTTTGGAAATTTTCTTGAAGATCGGACGATAATTGTAATCTGTATACAATAATAACCCAAACCTGTGTTGTAAGGTGAAAAAATATTAACAAAATGTACACTTCAATATTATAAGTCAAATCGAAAAAATCGCATGCGATAAAAAATATGAAAAATTAAAAAAATGTCACAAACTATTACAAAATCTACATTAACATCATTACGGGCATCTTTTTATGCGATTTTTTTAGATTTTATACTTTTAAGCCAAGAGAGCATTCTGAATTGAAAAAATGTTTAAAAATCGGTCCAGCCATTCTCGAGATGTAAGCATTTTAGCTGACATTCCCTTCCTTTGTATATACACATTGTATATATTTCGCTATATACATCCGATATATTTACTATCGGCATCTACGTAACCGTCAGAATTGACCTGTTCGTCTATTTGTGATTTCGCCGGGATTAAAAATATTCGCGATTTAATGGAAAATTTGTCTTATATTTTACACAAATGTTATGGTCGTTTTCACCCACTAAATAGAACCCGATGACCATCAAAATTAGAAGGCTTCTTCCCAGCCCTAAGCTCTAGACCCATACTAATTTTCGCGTCGATTGGTCCATAATTTCGACTTGTAGAGCAACTGCAAAATCAGGATTTTTTTCAGTTTTTGGTCCATTTCGAACCCTAAATATTATGCAATCATCTCCAAAAGAAATAGGGTTCTATTCTGACCTTAACCATACGTCCATTCTAAATTTCGTGAAGATCGGGCCATAAAAAATGGGTAATGACTATCCCAAAACCGGTCTGATAGCTGATTGGTTGTAGTGACCTCTTTTGGTAATTCGGTGCTATGTCCACGCTCAACATTTATTATGCATCTTATAACTATTGGGAATATTATCTAAAATAAAATGTCACTCAGCCACATCAAAGCATATCTAAATCATTTATTGATATTTGTCATGGAGTCTTCAAAGAGAAATTGCAAACCAGTGGCAGCCTATTAACAATATAATTAACGATGCACCGGAACAAAGGTTTCTTTATTCATTTTAAGTCAAGCCATAAAAATGTAATTGCTAGTCGTCGTCTTAGTTTTATTGTTTTTAACTAATTAAGCTTATCTAATTATTCTTTGTGTGCTAAGTTTGTTTTCAATACATCATTTTAAAGGGTTTTGGAAGGTCAAAACAGCGTTGAAGAATATAAAATTTGGGTATCCAATCAGATTTTGCGAGAGAAAAGTTCATCAATTGGACACCATGAATATAACTCACCACAAGGAGTAACAAACTAATTTCTGACTTATTTAATTTACAATTCTATCCTGAGATACCGGAAGATTTTGGTTAATTTTTTCCATTTTTGTATTGTTATGTTATTGTTGATGTGTTAAGTTTGGACAAAGTCGGGGATTGGTTTCACTACATATTTTATGTATGATTTTAATTTTTTACAATTTGTGGGGAGGTATCAAAAATAGTGGATCAATATAGTTTGAGAAAGTGAGACGCATCCGATATTTCCATTATCGCCCTGTGCAAGCCTGATAAACATATTATAGATAAGGCGAAGTTTTAGGCATGATTATGCAAATAATACTGTGCCACGCAGAAAATAAAAATTCAGGAGATTTTGAGTAGAGCGTTTTGAAAGTTAACATCGCAAAGTAACCTAAAAAGAGGAGCAAGTTCCCTCCTCTTCCACGTTTTTGGAAATTTTCGAACTAACAAACGACGAACAACGACATAATTTTTACATTGTTTTTAAATTTTATTGAAAAAAAACAAACAAGTTACAAAGCAGTAAGTTCGGCAGGGCCGAACTTTGAATACCCTCTACCATTTGGAACGGATTTGAAAATTTTAAAAAAATAAAATCCTTAAAAAATTCTGTTAAATTTTAAAAATATCGAATATTGCCGTTATATTGGGGTCTAAACGACGTGGACCTAAATAGGCATAGTTTGCCATTAGCCATTACCATATTCAAATTCGAAACTTGAAATAAACGGTGAATAATGTAGCTAAAATCATCGAAATATCGTATATAGGGAGGTACCGTTATATCGGAGCTGTGCTATGGCTATAGCATCCATTACCAACGTCAAATACGATATCTCAAACAATTTCGGTGGGTATTGTACCTAAACTCGTCAAAATACCGAATATAGGGAGGTACTCATATATGGCGCCTATACGAAGACCTGGACCTGCATAGACATTTTTCTGTCACAGACTGTAGTTCCCATTACGTAATTTGAAACCTTTCCAGTGAATAATGGAGCTAAAATCATCAAAATACCGAATATAAGGAGGTACCGTTATATGGGGCTGCATCAAATACCGAATATCGGGAGATACCGTTATATAGGGGCTATATGAAAACCCATTATAGCCCATTTACGAACCTAACCTGCCTACTGGAAAAATAAACAAGTGTGCAAAATTTTAGCCTTCTATCTCAATTCGTTCGAAAGATAGCGTGATTACAACAGACAGACAGACCGTCATGGCTAAATCGACTTAGAATTTTACGCTGATCAAGAATATATATATATACTTTGTTGGGTCTGACATGAGTATTCCGAGGAGTTACAAACGGAATAACAAAATCAATATACCCTCCATAGTATGGTGGAGGCCAATGAAACCACAAACGCTGGCTGAATGTTGTTCTGCGGTATTTTGGTCCATTCCCGGCGAAACGATTGCTTGAGGTGATCGACAATTTGGTATTTTTTTAGTGCCAACCTTGCTTTCCAAAATACTCTAGACACAATAGCCCAACGGATTGGTATCCGGAGATTTTGGTGGCCGTTGTGGAAATGATGCGAGAAACCTCATTTTGAAAACATTCTTGGGTGGCGGGTGCTGAGTGCGATGATGCTGAGTCCTGTTGGAATGTCCAAGGCCTACGGCCAAACAGATTGCTAGCACAATGCTTAAATACAGCCTCCAGAATATTTTCGCGATAATATTCGGCATTTATTCTGCTTTTATGGCGGCCCACACCATCACCATAACCGGCGCTTTAGTTCTATTGGCCAATCGAAGATGTACATTTTCAGCTGACCACTTTGGCAAGTAAAAACGATCATTTTGTTTGTTTTTGAAGTGACAGATGTCTGAAGTTGGTTTCAGTTTTTTCATCTCACCCTGTAACTTTTAGACTCTTTTGGACACTTTTTACCTGATTAGCATCGATTTTTTTCATTTCAGGCTCAACGTATTGAATTGGCTGGCTATACATGTGAGACGCACACAGTATGGACTCCAGATGGCTATGGTCTCACAATATTTCGCGTAAGAAATTCAACAACAAAACTGGATTCACCGGCCTCCCAATCCTCAGCTCCGGTGGTCCTTATGATGCATGGCTTAACCAGCTCCTCAGACGTATGGGTTATACGAAACCACTCACACCATCTGGCTCTGGAGCTAGTGGATCAAGGCTATGATGTTTGGTTGGGCAACAGTCGCGGTAATACCTATGGTCTGCAACATTTAAACTACACCAAAAAGGATCGGAAATTTTGGCGTTTTTCTTGGCATGAATTGGGAACCATTGATCTACCCATAACCATTGATTATATCTTAAAGGAAACTCAACAATCAGCTTTGCACTATGTGGGTCATTCCCAGGGTACAACCATTGCAATGGTGATGCTGTCCACCCTTCCGGAATACAATGCAAAATTGAAGACTAGCCATTTTTTCGCACCAATTGCCTTTATGACTTCATCGCGATCGTCTAATTTAAGATTCTTATCGAAATTTTTGGGCTCATACAGCCTACTTAATAATCTGCTAGGGGACAAGGACATTTTTGAACCACCAATTTTACGTCATTTAATGGGTTTTGAGTGGTGTCGCACCAAGAAGGCATATCCACCATTTTGTTTATTTCTATCGACGCGGTTCTTTGGTGGCTATTCGACTTATGTCAAGGAGGTAAGGGGCTGACAAATATACACTTGTAAAAGTTATTATAAATTTAAAATATTTTATCTTTCTAGTACACATATCCTGAACTGTTTAATACCCATCCATCGCCGGCATCTGGCCATCAGGCATTGCATTTTGTTCAGCTACATGTTTCCGGTAAATTCCGCCGCTATGACTTCGGTAGCCAGGGCAATATGGAGCGCTATAATCAGACCATTCCTCCAGATTATGATTTGGCGAAAATACGGACCCGTTTTCCCATCCATTTATATTACAGCGATTCTGATGATTATTCCACTAAAACAGATGTCGAAAAGCTAAGTGGGATTTTAGGCGCTAGATGTGTAAAACATTTTATCGATCTGGAGGGGTTTGCTCACATGGATTTCACTATGGCCTACAATATTGAAAGTGTCGTTAATCAAGATGTCGTGCGAATAATCAATGAAGCTGAGAGGCACCTTACAGAGGACACGTAATACGAGTGTTCAGTGTTAATTAATAATGTTTTATAGTCTTATTTTAAATTGTACTCTTTAAGAGTATGTTCCTATGTATTTCGATTGTGTGTCTACTATAATATAAAAAATTTCGTCAAATAAGTGTCAATAAAGTATGTGATAAAAAAATTGGTACAGCAGTTCGAAGAGCCATTAAATGATAAGCAATTGGAAAACACTGTTTGGATTGCCCACAGATATACAGGTTAAGATGAAAAAATTGCAACCAATTTCAGACTGCTGCCATTTCTAAGGCACTCGTCCGACAGCTATGAAAATTATTCCAGTGACAGCTCATTATATTGTTTAAAAGCGTACAAAAGCATTTTGGTGAGAATTTTCCAGAAAAGAAGTTATTCGTGATGGATTGCAAGCGTGATAGTGTGATTCTTTATACTTGGCTGGAAAACCACAAGTGGCTATCGTTAGAGCACTCCAGCATTTAAATATGAATAAATTTTTTGTGTCTCGTACCATCGCTCGTTACCGTGATACTGGTAGCGTAGCCCGACATCAAGGAAGTGGAAGAAAAAAAACAGCAACATCGGAAACGGTTCGAAAAGTAAAGAAGCGACTTGAACGAAACCCGCGTCGCAGTGGCCGAAAAATTGTCCGTGAGCTGAGCATATCGCAATATTCCATTCGGCAAGTATTGAAAAAATGAGCTCGGGGTAAAGCCATTGACATTCCAAAAAGTGAAAGAACTTACATCGCAAGAGAAAGAAAATAGACTCAAAAGAGCTAAAGAGTTGCTTCGCATGGCTGAAATTGCTGAACTGCCGAATTTGATTTTCTCCTATGCGAAAACATTCGTTGTCCAGCAGTTTGTAAACAAATAAAATGATCGTGCTTATCTGCAAAAGAGGTCAGCTGTAAATGTGCACCTTTGGTTGGCCACCAGAACTCAAGCGCCAGCCATGGTGATGGTGTGGGCCGCTATAACAGCCGATGGTCGCTCTCCGCTCGTAATAATCGACCGTGGCATCAGAATAAATGCCGAATATTATCGCGAAAATATTCTGGAGGAGAAAATATTCATTTTGGCCGCAGACCATGGACATTCCAACAGGACTCAGTACCATCGCACTCAACACGCGACACCCAAGAATGGTTACAAAAATGAGGTTCCTCGCTTCATTTGCAGCGCACAATTGTCACCAAAATCTCCGGATACCAATCCGTTGGACTACTGTGTCTGGAGTAGTTTGGAAAACAATGTTCGCACTAAGAACAGTGCTTCGCAGGGAATGGGCCAAAATACCGAAGAGCAATATTCGGGCAGCGTGTGACGGTTTCATTGGCCGTTTAAAGGCCATAATTCGTGCCAAAGCTGAACAATTCGAACAAATCTAAACTTATTCTAAAATGTGATGCTATTTCCGACATTTTTTGCTTTCATTCAATAAAATTTAAAAAAATGTAAAAATTATGGCGTTTGACTTTTTTATCTCACCCTGTATATTTTTCATCCGATTTGGTGTTTAAGTGCCTCACATTCGTAATATGCATTCGACAACAATGATTTTGGTAACTCGGAAAATAGCTTTACAGAATTTTATCGACATTGGCTAAGATTTGGATATAGCTTGCATATATATTCTTAATTAGTTTTCAGGTTTGTTGTGCAAATAATGGCTAATATCAGCCCAAATGGAGTGAATTTCGGGACGTACTTTTCCATTTGGTGGAACTCGGCTCTGATACATTTTTATAATTTTTTATATCCTCCACCTTGGAAAGGAGGGTATATTAACTTTGTCATTCCGTTTGTAACATCCTTAAATATTCGCCGTAGACCCCATAAAGTATATATATATTCATAATCAGAATAAAATTCTAAGTCGATTTAACGATGTCCGTCTGTCTATCCGTCTGTCTGTTGGAATCACGATATAGCCCACATTATTTGACGTAGAACGCCAAAATTTAGCAGAACAATATCTATATAATATGTATGCATAGGTCCACGTTTTGGCATAGCTCCCATATAATGGTACCTCCAGATATTCGGTATTTTTATGGGTTTTGTCACATTTTTTCACGGTTTTGTCTAAAAATTGTTATTTGTTTGTTTGTAATGGGTTCTGGCTGCGGTGGCGTAACATTGTATGTATAGGTCCACGTTTTTGGTGTAGCTCCCATATAACGGTACCTCCAGTTATTCGGTATTTTGATGATTTTTGCCACATTTCTTCGCGTATTTGTCTAAAAATTAGTATTGTTGTGTCCTAAGGAGACATTATATTATATTATTACGATGTGTTGATGTCTTCGTAGTTAAGTTGGGGACTCTCGGTATAATCGTTCGCGGTGGCAGTTCTCTGTAGAGATAATCGGGAGAAGGTATCGACTGGCTAGATCTTGGGGCTGGCAGAAGCCTTTCAATTTGGATGGTCATCGGGGAATATTTAGTGGGTGAAATAGACCATAACATTTGTGTTAAATAAAAGTTAAATATTTCATTAAACCGCGAATATTTTTAATCCCGATGAAATCACAAATAGACGAACGGATCGATTTTGACCGTTATGTTAATGCCGATAGTAAATATATCGGAAAATAAAATAGCGAAATATGTACAAAGAAAGGGGATGTTAGCTAAAATGCTTATATCACAAGAATGGCCGGACCAATTTTGACAGATCTTGTCAATGGCATAAAAGTATAAAATCTTAAAAAAATCGCATTAAAAGATGCCAATAATGATGTTAATACGAATTTTGTAATATTTTGTGACATTTTTTTTATATTTTCATATTTTTATCGATTTTTTCAATATGGAGGTGTATATTTAGTAATATTTTTTCACCTTATAACACAGGTTGGATTTATTATTTACAGATTGCAATAATAGTCCGATCCTCACGAAAATTTTCACAAGGGTAGGGTTAAGATCAGAAGGGCTAGGCCTTTTGTTACAGAGATGTCTGCAATATATTAAGGGGTTGAAATGGACACACAATTAAAAATGTTCCTGATTGTGAAGTCGCATAGATAGAAAACAAAGGACACGAAATCTCCCATGAAGTTAGAGAGAGGTATACCAATATTTCCATTCTACCGAAACGCTGAAAATTACTCACAGGCGAAATCCAAAATACACGAAAGGCGAACTTCTGGCGTTTTTATGCAGATTTCATTGACGGATATGACGGACCACAACAACTAACAACTCGACGGAGTGCGTAAATATTGGGCAAATGCACCTGGTCAAAAAGCTGAGGGTAATATTTGGGCAATGATCTATGACATAATTTCAAAAGCGAAATCTTCCAAAATGGATTTGGACATAAGGGAGCTTTTGACATATAGTAGAGTTGTAGGGTATCACATAGTCGGCCCCGGACGAATATAGCCTTAGCTTACTTGTTTTTTATATTTTTTTTTATTAAACACATTCATGTTTGGCCCAAGGACGAACCCTATTGAAATTGGTGATAATCGGGTGATTATCTATATATCATATATTTTCAACCGATTTCGGCTTAATTGTGCACCAAATAGCCAATATAAGTCCTAATGAACTAAATGTTGGTACATCTGACCGAATTCAGTCTAGATTCAAGTACATCCTTTTATAAAAGAGGTACTTAATATCAGTTCCCATGCCAATCTTCTAAACTTGTTTTTAAGTAGTGTCAGGTATATCTAGACTTAACAGTCTAGTCAATTTTCCTGTTATTCCCAAAGCAAATTATAAAACGTGGACATTGCATATATACTTGACCTGCCTGCAGACAAAAGACTGACCTGTGCAAAAATTTAGCTTCCTATCTTTATTTGCTTTGACTCTAGCGTGATTCCAACAGACGGACGTCGTTCATCGAGAATATATACTTTGTAGGGTCTTAAATTATTATTTCGATGAGTTACATACGGAATGACGAACCTAAATAACTCCTCCATAAAATATATATGGTGAAATGTATAAAAATTAATTTTCCTTAATGTGTTGAAATCGTTTCAGATTCAAATATTATTACGGTGTCCGTTGCCGAAATATTGTATGTATAGGTTCACGTTTTTGTATAGCCCCATGTAGCGGTACCTCCCGATATTCAATATTTTGATGATTTTGCGACATTTTCCCACGAATATGTCTAAAAATTGGTATTTGGGGGACACAATGGGTTCTAATGTTTCCTTTACCCTAAGGTGGAGGGTATTAAAAGTTTGGCCCGACCGAACTTAATGTTTTTTTACTTGTTTTAATATAATCCTTCTCAAAGTGATATCATGCTCTCTATAGCAATGTTTTTTGGTATAAACCAAAATATAACTGCTCTAAAGTCAAATGTTGATAGGTGGTATGATCTACATTTTCTTACGGAAGCTCTACTAAATATACAAAGTGGTGTAGTGTATCATATAGTCGGCCCTGCCCGACTTTTGACTTTTCCTTACTGGTTTCCAAATGTCGATGTCGCTTTTATGCTTTACCGTAATATACCATTTTTGAATCGAAGCGACGGCTAAGGCGACTTGCATAAAACGTCGACGACGACTATAGAAACGACAAGTGTAATTGGGCCGATTATAAAATATATACTGTACTATGGATATATAAGTATATACTATATCATAAACCATTTCCTTTCCGAAAAAATTGTGTGAAGCGCCTAAAAGTATGTTATAAAAATGTCATTCCATATGCCTTCTCAAACAATTGCATATTGCTTTAGCGGTTAAAATCGCTTAACATTGGTAACTATGTTGTTGTGATATCATAACGATAAAGGTAAATGCTCCTGGTGACAATATTTTGACTCTATGTTGCCTCCTCTTTATACTTCTATGTCTTTGGAGTAGCTCCCATTCCCTCAATGAGCATTATGTGTTAAATAGTTGAATCATGAACTGATCAAAAAATATTGAATGGTGCTTCTTCTATTTGTGTTGTGTTTTCTCCAGAACATATCGCTGCTGAACCCTGAACATGATATGTAAACTAGCCTTAAAATATACACTAGTGTTTTCCAAGAAAATCTCTACTTTGGATTCACATGCATGCGAATTTCTTATTAGTCAGCTCAATGCCACGTTGTATGTGGGATAGAATGTTTGCGTTTAGACTTACATGTATTGTTTCGACATTTATTTTTAAAGTGGTTCATGTTAATATAACAGTTATATGAGTTCTTTCCTGGCGAATCACTACTAACAGATTTGCTATTTGAGAAGAGCATGCTATAAAAGTCTTCGTGTGAATGTCTGTGTGTGTTCTTGTATGGGGCAGCTGCACGTGTTGCAATCACGTTCCTATCTCTCACACACACTGTGTGTGTGTGTTCTCAATATTGTTATGCAATAACATAAGGAGCAAAAGCATGCAATGGAAACAAATGAGCCACAATAAAGACGGGAAAAAATCAAAAGAGAAAAAAAGTGCTAAACAAATGAAGCAGAATCACACACATTTATGTGACAGACTGTGTGAAGTTGTCACTTATCCGATCAGAGCCACTCTTATAAGTGGTTATGACATTCGTGCATTGGTCGGTCGCATATGCCATTGCATTGGAACGTGGTGGCAGTACATCCATCCATGTGACAGCATTTTAAGTGGCCCAGTCTGGAGGACACAAATATTGCTATTGTTTGCAATAAAACAATAGATTTCTTTAGGAGGGATATAGGTTGAGATTTAAGTAAATTAAAACCAGTGAAGAAAGTCTTAAAGTCGGGCGGGCCGAGTTTATGATACCCTACACCACTTTGCTAATTTAGCAGAGCTCCACATAACAATTAAAAGTTTTTATGGGAGAATTCAATCATACACGCTATGATTAAAATTATAATTTAAAGTTCAAAGGACTTTATATGCCGAAGCATTTATATCTTTTAAATTCGGACTTGTATTGCCAATTTGATATATATGGGAGCTATATCCAAATCTGAACCGATCTTGATAAAATTTGGTAAAGATATTTCTGAGCTGTATTTCATATATTTTCCTGAATATCGTTGTTACGGAGTGCATATTACGGCTGTGGGTAACAAACATGACAAATCGGATGAACAATATATATGAGAGCTTAGCTATATCTGAACCGATCTTCACCAAAAATTGACATACTAGCTTCTAGACTCAATTCGGTCGTAAGTGCCAAATTTCGTCCCATTTGGGCAAATATTGTACGTTTGGTGCACAATAAAAGGTAAATCGAACGAAGTTATATGTGGGAGATATATCCAAATCCGAACCAATCTCGATATACTTTAGCAAAGGTATTTCTGATCTGTATTTGATATATTTCCCCAAATATTGTTGTTACAGAGTGCATGTTACGACAGCGGAGGACTGAAATAACAAATCGGATGAACAATATATATGGGAGCTATAGCTATATCTGAACCGATTTCAATCAAAATTTGGCATACTTGTTTTCAGACCTAATTTGGTTGTATGTGCAAAATTCCATACTATTCGGGCCGATATTACACGTTTGGTGGCCAATAAAAGGCAAATCGGACGAAGATATATATGGGAGCTATATCTAAATTTTGACCGATTATCTCCAATTTCAATAGGGTTCGTCCTTGGGCCAAACAAATGTTGTTAGGAAAATTTCATCTGGATCGGGTAATAAATGCGAACTGTACCTTGTTCACAAAAATATATGGACAGACAGGCGGACGGTCGGACATGCACAAATCGACTCAGAATGTGATTCTATGCAGATCATGAAATGGAACTATGGGTCTATCTCGTTTCCTTTTGCCTGTTGCAAAAAATGCACAAAGACATAATACCCTGACCTCCTTGTGGTTTAGGGTATAATTACAATTGTAGGCCATTTTATTTTTACATACATATACATCAATATGTAATATATCTTATTTATATACATATTTAATTGAGATATTTTAACTACACACATTTACAGTTAAGTACAATTTTTACACGCATACATACAAACATTAAATAGTAATTTAAAATTAATTGATTTTTTACTAACTTTTAGCAGTTTTGTTGGCATGTCTGGTGTAATCTTCTTTATTTTGGTCAAGACACACAAAATTCAGTTTGTCAACAAATAAAGCTAAAAGCTAGGAAAAACAAATTTCGTAAACATAAATAATACAAAATTATAGATATTAAACTATTTTCAATTCTTAAAAACTTTGTATTCCTGTATCCGTACTCAGAACAGACAGTGGTCGGCCCGATTTCAAGAGAGCTGCAAAAATACCATCTGCCTTATTTTTCAATTCGCCGGGTGGACCATCTTCAATAATTTCGCCCTTTTCCAAGACAATAACACGATCATAATCCAGAATGGTTGACAAACGATGCTGTGAGAGAAAAAATGTTCATTAATTAATAATGAGAGAAAATGGGTAAATTGTTTGCCTCAACATACCGCTATTGTTATTATCGTCCTTCCCTGGAAAGCCTTGTGTGCCGCTGCCAGTAGCGCCTTTTCGGTGCTGGAATCCAGCGAACTTGTAGCTTCATCCAACACCAAGCACACGGAACCCCTTAAAATAGCTCGAGCCAGGCAGAAAAGTTGTCGATGGCCAACACTTAAATTTATTCCACCATCCATGATTTCAGTATCTGAAAGGGAATGAGGGAAATAAAATACATTTTTTTAATAATTAAGGGAAAAAATTTAGCGGATTATGATAGCATAGCTAAAAACCGGTGTTTTGAAAGTTTACATTGCAAAGTAACCTGGATAGAAGGGGACAAGTTCCCCCTCTTCCACACTTTTAGAAATATTCGGATTAAAATTCCTCAAAATCCGTTCGTTTTAGGTACATAGTGTCTTCGGCTATATTGCAGAAAAAAATATGAAGAATATTTTGGCAAATTGTAACACTCGAGTGAGCCAAAAAACTACCTTTAAAGTGGATCGTAGCTAGAACAGCAATCTCTAATTCCATTGTATATCTAAAACAATTAAAAAAACATTAAGTTCGCCCGGTCCGATATTTTATTACCCTCCACAATTGGAAAAATTTTGTATATAAAAGGATCTGAATTCAAACGTGTTCCACTTTAAACTACAAATACCAGTAAGACCGTTTGGATAATGCTATTAAAATTTTCAAAAAGCGGGTGAGGCTGTTATATGGGGGCCATACCAAAACGGGAACCTCTTGGACAATTTTATACTTCAAGGATTGCCATCCAGCAAATCTTCTTAAACACCACATTTGTAACAATTTCGTGGGTAAATGTGACTAGGATTATCAAAATACCAAATATATGTGGGTATCGTTGTATGTGCGCTAAATAAAAGCATGGACCTATACATACAAAGTTTCGCCACCGGACTAAAACCTATTATGTTCCACAAATACCATTTTTTTTAAATAAATTCGTGGACAAATGTGGCGAAAATCATCAAGATACCGAATAGCGGGAGGTACCGTTATATGAGGGCTATACAAAAACGTGGACCTTGTATATATGCAATGTTTCGCCACAGAAGCTATTTATAAGCAAATTCTAGGCAGATTCGTGAAAAAACTGTGGCAAAAATCATTAAAATACTGAATTTATGGAGATACCGTTATATGGGTTCTATACATAGACCTATACATACAATGTTCCGCGGCCGGTGCTAGAACCCATTATGACCTACAAATACCATCATCAAAATACCGAATAGCGGGAGGTACCGTTATATGGGGCCTATACCAAAACGTGGACCCATATATCTCATTTTCAATACCAACCATCCTAGACACAATACAAATTGTTCTGCCGAATTTTGAAGCTTTACATCAAATAATGTCAGCTACATCGTAATTTCAACAGACAGACGGACATCGTTAAATCGACTTAGAATTTTGTGCTGATCATAAATATATAAACTTTATGAGGTCTACGAGGAACATTTAGGGATGTAACAAATTGAATGACAAAGTTTATATACCCTCCTTTTCAGTGTGAAGAGTATAATGGTGCTCTGTTAAGAAAATTCATCGCGCGCTTCTTTCATTTTTCGAGGAATCTCATTTGTGACTCAATGGGTACGTAAATAAGCAGAGCTGTCGATTTTGGAGTGAATGTCAGCCGGAAGCATTGTAATGTAACTATGATTTCTCCAATCTCTATTTGTTTGGATCAAGGACGAATCCTATTGAGAATCGGTTCAAATTTAGATATATAACCGGTTTCGGGTTAATTGTAAACCAAATGGCCAATATCGGTCGAAATGATCTGAATTTTGACTCGAAGAAAGTACATCAAATTTGAAAATCGGTTCAGATATAGCCATAGCTCACATATATATGTTTCATCCGATTTAGGGTTTTAAGTCCCTCACATGCGTAATATGCACTCCACAAAAATAATATTTGGTACCAGGTATAAGATACAGCCAAGAAATACCTCTGTCGAATTCGAATTCGAGATCGGATCTGATTTGAATGTAATGTATATAGGAGAAAGATGTCTCCCGATATCAGGTTTATTGTTCACCAAATGCCTAATATCAATCTAAATGAAGTGAATCTTGGCAATTCCGACTGAATTCCTTCTAGAAACAAGAACTTCAAATTTAAGTGAAAATCGGTTCAAATATAGCTATAGCTCCCATATATATGACTAATTCGATTTTGGTTTTTATGTCTCTCAATGATGATATTTGGTACCAGATATCAGGTACAGATCAGAAATAAGTGCCAAAAATGTTGTCAAGATCGGTTCAGATTTGGATATAGCTCTCATAAATATCTTTATCCGATTACAGGTTTGAGGACTGAATTTTGGCGCTTTCGACGGAATTCAGCCTAAAAGCATGTACTTCAAATAGCTCTCATATATATGTTTCATTCAATTTGATGTTTAATTACCTCATATGCGTTATATGCACTCCACAACGAAGATATTTAATACCGGACATCGGATACTGCTCGAAAATACCTCTGCCAAATTTTATAGAGATCCGTTCCGATTTTTATATACCTTCGGTATTCATCTTCATGCGATTTTACGTTTATTATTCACCATATATATAATATCACCCCATATTGCATAGATTTGTTCATATTCAATCATTTGGTGAATTTGGTCCGGTATATATATATATATATATATATTACTCCAATAAATATTTTTTCATATAATCCTTATCGAAGTCAATTCATGCACTATACAGCAATGTTATTTAATACTAGAGGTACAAGGTAAAGCCTTCGTCAAATTTGTTGAAAATTGACCATAGAATAACTACTTTTTCGGACGCCAAAATAAATGCCTATCAAGACGGTTTGTAAACCCAGTTGGGAAATCCAGTAATCGTTTAATCGCGACATTTTTGGATCCCTCTCCTAAATACCAAAGGTATTATTTTCTTCCCTATTCTTATTTTTTTATTTATTTTATCATAGTACAATTCACAACTATATTTTCAGCTTATAACCGCTTAGCTAAGGGCAATTACGTTAAACCCTTGAAACTTTAAGAGGATATTAGAAAATTCCAAACAAATACAAAACTCTTCCATTTCATGGGAGAAATGCCAAACCTCTGCTCCCGAAACTCACTTGACATGTCAATGAATGTTGTGAAGCCAAGCAAACTCTTGGGGAACTTGGAGCGTGCAATCGATGATGGCCTATTTCGTGGTAAGCATTTTATGATGTCCACTAGGCGGAGGGACAGTCGATTGCCACCACTTTAATCCGCTATGCGGCAACCCCATCAGCAAGTTCACTTGAAAATTCAAATTGCATAAAACCCAACAAATACATACATATGTAAAAAACTACAACAATGTATATACGTACTCATATAGGTTTGTCTCTGGAACTGGTTGACGACACATGTGACAAACATACACTCACACACATATGGTATATGAGTAATCGTTAGGATTCTATGACACATGAAAACATACATACATACCTGCACGTTAACAAACACATCTATACATACCTAATCCCTGTGGCATTTTACTATTGACAAAGTCCTTCAGCTGTGCCAATTCAAGGCAATTCCACAGCTCCAAATCCGAGTAGTAACCAGACGGGTCAAGATTCTCCCGTATTGTCATATTGAACAAATGAACATCCTGCGGGATTATCGATAATCGTGTACGTATCTCATCCGGGTGTATGTGTGCGATATCGTTGTCATCGATGCGTATACAGCCCCGGCTCACCTGCAGAACACCGAATAGGGAAAGGGCCAATGATGATTTACCGCTGCCAGTGCGACCACAAATGCCAATCTGTAAAAAAGATGAGAAAAACAGATAGACAGACAGACAGAGAGAACGAATTAATGAAAACCACAAATGCACAGAGGGAGAGAGAGAGGGAGACACACACGCACAGAAGCAAACAAGTGGTAGCAACGATTAACCCATTAGTGGACGAAGTTCCCTGGGCACTATCTTTAAGCGATTTACACCAATTACAATTAAAAATGGTCTAGTTAATTTGTTTTAAAAACAATTTATTCAAAAAAGCTTATGGTTTTGGAGTTATGGACCGTCCCTTATAAGGGACCCTGCGCATTGGGTACACTTGGCTTATGATATTCCTTAAAGCAATTTTTAGGGTGGAGACCTTTGTCACACTTCTTACAAATAAATTTAGACTTTTTGCCGCATAATCCACACCGTTTATCTGTTTTTGAATATTCAATAATGTAGTTTCTGCCATCATATCTTGTATCTGCAGTGACATTGCTATTGCGCAAACCATTTGATGCTGGGGTACCATACTATTCCAGATATGATGTTGCAATATAACGGCGAAAATTTATAAGAGTTGAACATGCCGGGTCATTGGGATGTAACTTCTTCATTAACACCCATGCATTCACTACTGACCATCAAGCAAATATGCAAATATGGCCACCACCATCAGTATCTTCATCAGTATCTGCACCATCTATTGGTGGGATCGCGTAAATTTCAATGTCGTGCATCTCATTATCGCCAATAGCATCCAATTCATTCAGTATTTCAGAAACTGTAAGTCTGCACATATAAGATTTATTACTCAATCAGTGGATTACAATTGTACTACGGGGACAGTGTCCCTCTTAGGGGACGTTGCATTCATAGTCACTTTATGCACGTGTCACAACAATTTATTTTATTTTTTTTGGCATAAATTAGTCTATTAAACTTGCTTACAAATAATAATACCAACACAATCATAAATATTCACAGAACCATAACTTTATTGAAATTTTACTTACCCAGCTCGAGATTTTTGTTTTTTCACAAATTGGTTTTCCATATTTTGCACAAAATACAACACGCAACTCGCAAGAAATTAAACGAATAGGATAGAACATAATTCGTTGCAGTGTCACTAACGGCATAGCCTACTTGTTTACAAAAAAAACGAGTATTGGAAAGTGCCACAGTGGAAAATGTGAGAGTCCCTTATAAGGGACACTGCCCACTAATGGGTTAATAAAGGAGAAGAAAGAAAAAAAAAACAAATACAAACAATAATGGATGAGAAAAACAATGACAATTAAAATGGATTGTCCTTTGAGAGGTATTCAAAAAAAAAAAAAAAAGTGTGGGGAATCGTAGTTAAAGTAATGGCTTAAGGTGAAAGTTCAATAAATTCTGAAACAAATATATCGTAAGCAACAGTCCTATATGTTAAAATAGCTATAAGATGTCTTTAAATCCCTCATATAGCGAACTTCTAGCGGTACTCTATTACGATGAATATATGGACCTATATAGAACACTTTTTGTTACGATTGAAAAGTCTAAACAGCAAATTGTAAATAAAAATGGTTTAATGAGTCAAATCGGGAGGAGTCTTTAAAATGCCTAAAATGAAATAGAAGCGTTATATGAGGGTTATAGAAGACCATGAATCAATATCGATTCTTTTGCATGAAATACAAAATACAGAAATGGAGCTTACTCTGCTAGATAAAAGGTCGAAATCATTACAAAGGCCGAAAATATGTAAATTGTTATACGGAGGCTATACAAACTCTAGACCGATCTCGAAATTTTTGTAACGTTCTCCAAATACAAAGGGCTAACTCCGGATATTGTGTTTAAATCCTTAAAAATGATTGAAAGCTGGTGGAAACCTTATATGATGTTTATATGAAAACTTCGATTGTCATACCCTCAGCCATAAGCCCATTGATACGGCAAAAATGTGTCTCATTAAAATAACGGTTTTCAACCCTAGGTCTCTTTTGATGAAGTCCGTTTCAGGGCATTGGAGTCTATCTAGTGATGTCCGTCTGTCTGTCAAGGAAAATATTATCAGACGGTTTTGTCGAAAGGTGAATACCAAACCGTTGACGTTTTATGGGAGAGGTTCCGAAGCAGTTGGCCGATATTGACCAATTCGTATCTGACCTAAGACTAACATAAATATTACACCGTTCCATATTTGGACTACATCGATTACTTCCTCTGCTTCATATGAGATATGTGCAAATTTTTAGAAAGGGAGGAAATATGGAAGAGGTGTCAGATATAGCGGATTGAAGTATTCAATTTTCAAACTACATCTAATGCAGATAGCAATATTGGTATGCGCAAAATTTGAAGGAAATCGAACATTTATATCCAATTTTATGTGAAATCATAAATTCCGATTAATTTCATTTTCATTTACGGATGAGGTACCAGAAGGGGTTAGCAGATGTATATCATCTTCACAATAGATTTAGCAAAAATAATTGAGCGTTTTGTTTTTTCAAATCTTGAACCCGATGTGGGGGAGGTACCAGAAGAAATGCTCGTATCTCTACCATATTTATAAAAGATTTTTATTGATGAAAATTTTGAGATGTACCCAGTATCAATTTAATCGAACGTTATTTTCACATTTTATGAGCTTCTTGGATTTAAAAATTTTGAACCATTGTGTGTGTGATGGAGTGGACCGATATATCCCATCTTCACAGCAGATCTTGTGTTATGAGAAATAATGGTATGTTTGAAATATTAAGGGAACCAGATGCTTATTTCAGATTTTATATTCGTTTTAGTTATTCAAAATTTTGACCCTTCGTGGGGGAAGTACCAGAAGAAATGACATGATATATTCCATCACAGCAGATATTGTGTTAGTAGAAGTAATGGGATGTGTGAAATATTAAGGGAACGGGATGTTCATTTCGGATTTTGTAATCGTTTTGGTTATTCTAAATGTTGACCCTTTGAGGGGGTGTTACCAAAAGAAATGCACCGATATTTACGATCTTCGCAATTTTAAAGACAATCGAACTCTTATTTCACATTAAATAATAGTAATAATTTTTCAAAAATATTGGCAAAGTTAGCACTAAGTCGAATGATCTTTTCTCGCTTTAAGAGGTAAATTATTTTCTTTAAAAAATTATTTTCTTTCTGGCGTGCGTACCGCCAGCCAGACAGACAGATAGACGTCTCGAAACAAACGTTACTTCGATGAGGAACGTTTTGGTCGTATCAAATGATATATCCCCTCTGTAGCCATATGGCTGGCAGACTGTAAAAAATGGAGCAGATAGAACTCATTGTTGGGTCGGTAAAGGAAAGCATTTTTGATCAAAATAATCCTCGTATTGGTATCTGTCATATTTCTGAGGACATTGCATATCCGAATCTGTAAATTTTCAAAACATCGATACACATGTCTTTTCTTTTTAGCTTTATTTCTATAATCTAGCGATTTTTATCGAATTTCGTTCACAGCGTATAAATCAAATTCTGATACCGCAGGATATGACACCGGTTAGCAACATTTGCTGTTATGAGCCCCCAAAATTTGGGGCATTAGAAAGTTAATATGCTCTAGAAAATTTCTTATTAAAATTTTAGGTATATTTTCGTAATTATTTGTTGTTTGTATTCTAAACGTTTTCGTATGTGTAGATCGGAGATGGGGGAAAAATATAAAAAATTGACCGTGAACAATTTTTTCCTTGAAGATGGTGTTTTACTGTTTAAATTGTTTTCAATATTTGTTTCTTGTGACATAACTTTGCCTCAGTGAGAAAACTAAGATTTTAGACGGCTTGAAAGATATGAGCCCCAAATTTTAGGGATAATTAACAGCAAAAGTTGCTGCTTTCCCATATCTCTGAATATGGTTTACACTTCCATAGTGATATCTTTTTAATACCCTCCACCATACTATAGAGGGTATATTAACATTGTTATTCCGTTTGTAACTCCTCGTAATGGATACCACAGCCTATGACAAAAATTTTTCTGTGCAGGTCCACGTCTTCGTATAGCCCCATACCATATGTAGCTCCCGATATTCGGTATTTTAATAATTTCAGCAACATTATTCAACGGAATTGTTTCAAATTTCGTATTGCGAGATCTTAATGATTACTACAACCTTTTAAAAAACAATCGTATGCAGTACTACTCCTTCGTATAGCCACTATATAACGGTACCTTCCCTTATTCGGTATTTTCATGATTTTAGCTAAATTATTTACCGGATTTATTTCAAATTTCGTATTTGAAGTTCGTAATGGGTGCTACAGCCTATGACAAAAAGTTATGTATGCAGGTCCATGTCTTCGCATAGCCCCCATACGACGGTACCTCCCAATACTAGGTATTTTTATGATTTTTGCGACATTATTCACCCGAAGTGTAACAAATTACGTATTTTAAGTTGGTAATGCGTACTGCAGCCTATGACAAAAATTTTTGTATGCAGGTCTTCGTATAGTCTCCATATAACATTCTTCATTAAGTGGTAGTTTCCGTAAGTTTTTTTTTTATTAAATTTGTAAGTTCTTTCGAAATGGTGGCGGTAGCCGCCGAACTTAGCTGCTTTTTCACTTGTTTTGAACCCAATTTCCAAAAATTAGGAAAATTCCCAGTTTTTGTTCCCTTACAATATTTTACATTACAATTTTGAATTTTGTTGTATAAAATTGACTCTTACAAAAATAAAATTTTTGTCCTCAGCAACGGAGAGCTGTTTGCTAGTGCGAACTTAATAATTTAATTTAAATGTTTTGCATTTAAAATATTTGCATACAACATGTTCACACTTTAAAACAATGATGCATGTTTATATTTTATTTTATTTTTTTTTTTTTTTTGTAAGTTTAAACTTTGGCCCTTTTTTCATTTGCAATTTATTTCCAATTTGGCATTTTCTATTTCCGCAGAAATATTAACTGTTTAAAGCGAACTTTGTTATTTTTGTTTATTTACTAAAAAATTGTTTGGGATTTTTTAGAAAAAAATAATTTTTTTGTTGGTTATATTTCCGTTTTTGTCATTTTATTTTTCATTCCAACTAAACTCACATCATAATCACACGCTAGTCAGTCATGTCTATCAACGCTTTGCAGTTAATTTACTACAGGCCAAAGCCATTAGAAACAAAAACAGGAAGCCGAATAAAGTTAAATGTTACAAATTGCAATTTTTACTGATTGATTACAACGAAAAACCGGCTAAATAATAAAAAAAAAAAATATATTTTTACTTTAATCTCGGGATGGATGTTGTTAAATATTTACAACAAATACAAATTATGTAATATTTATTTGTGATAGAAAACAAAAGAATAGAACAGAGTTAAAATAGCCAATGGCATATCGAAATAATTGGCAGGAATACAAAAAAAAACGATGCTGATGGATGTGATGGCTTAGTTTAATCAAACAGCGACATCACATTTTTTTGTTGTTGTACAAAAGGATACAAAACTATTATAAAATTGAAATGTTGATTAAATACGGAAAAATGGCACATTGTTTGGAGCAACATTTGTGGCCAGTGTACCCAAAACAAAGGAAGCTTAAAAAATATTACTAATTGAGACAAAAATATTTCCTGTATTTCCTTACTAACACACACATGCAACGGCTGAAGTTAGAAATTTTAAAATTTGCATTTGAAGATGTTTTTTTAAATTTTTACGATCGGAATAAGAAGTAAATAGTTGGTTGCAAAATGTCTCGTAGATAATCTATTAAGGGAATCATCTGAAATCTTAATTATACTTCAAAAAGTATTATTTCAAACCAATAAAGAAAGTTTAAATGTCGGGCGGGGTCCGACTATATGATACCCAACAGCCCTTTGCATATTTAGTATTGCTTCATATAATAAATATAACAAATCGGATGAACAATATATATGGGAGCTTTAGCTATATCTGAACCGATTTTCACCAAATTTAACTTTCTTGTTTCAATTTGGTCGTAAGTGCCAAATTCCAGCCCATTTGGGGCACAATAATAAATGGGAGCTATTTCCAAATATGAACCGATCTCGATAAAATTTGGGAAAGGTATTTCTGCGCTGTATTTGATATATTTCCCCAAATATCGTTGTTATATTGCGGCTGCAGAGGTCAAAAATATCACATAGGATAAGCAATATATATGGGAGCCATAGCTATATCTGACCCGATTTCGATCAAAGTTGGCATACTAATTTCCAGACTTAATTTTGCCGTATATGCAAAATTCCATTCTATTTGGGCTAATATTACACGTTTTGTTCACAATTAAAAGCAAATCGGACGATATATGGGAGCTATATCTAAAATTTGACAAATTGGCTCCGATTTCAGTAGGGAAAGTCCTTAAACAAATGACTTGTGCAAAGTTTCATCTGGATCGGGTAATAAATGCGAACTGTACTTTGTTCACAAAAATGCATGGACCGACGGACTCAGAACGGACGGACTCTCGTTTTTTTGCCTATTACAAACAAATGCATAACATCCTGACCACCTTGTGGTGTAGGGTATAAAAAATCGAAAGCAAATTTTTCCCAACAAACATTTTCTCACCCTTTTACAACATTAATGACCCTCATGCCCTAACGTGAACATACATATACCACGATCCGTCATCGGAGCTAGAACTAATTACGAAATAAAAATACCATTTCTTAGACAAATCCACAGAAAAACGCGACACAGACCATAAAAATGCCGAATATCGGGATTTACTGATAAATGGTGTTTATGCGAAAACGTGGATATATACATATAATGTTCCGCCACCGAATTACGAACTACTAATATCAAATTTTACACAAATTCTTGGAAAAAATGGGGCAAAAAAATCATCAAAACAAGTAAAAAAGCTGTAAGTTCCGGCCGGGCCGAACATTTATTACCTTCCACCATACGGAACGAACAGGGGCATGCATAAGCAACTTTTGTCATAAGGCATTACAATATTCAAATGCGAAACTTAAAATTCGGTGAATAATGTCGCTAAAATCATCAAAATACCGAAAATAGGGAGGTACCATTATGTGGGGGCTATACGAACACCTGGACCTGCATACGCAATTTTTCGTCGTACGCTATAGTACGCATTTCGAATTCTAAATACGTAATTTGAAACAATTCCGCTGAAAAAATGTAGCTAAAATTATCAAAATGCCGAATATCGGGATGTACCTTTATATGGGGAGCTATGCGAATACGTGGACCTGCACAGAAAATTTTCTGTCATAGGCTTTAGTATCCATTACGAACTTCAAATGCCAAATTTGAAATATTTTCGGTGAATAATGTCGCTAAAATCATCAAAATGCCGAAAATAGGGAGGTACCATTATGTGGGGGCTACACGAAGAAATGGACCTGTACAGACAATTTTCTGTCATAGGCTGTAGTATCCATTACGAACTTAAAATATCAAATTTGAACTCTTTTCGTTGAATAAATTCGCTTAAATCGCCAAAATACCGAAAATAGGGAGATACCATTATCTGGGTGTTATACCAAAACGTGGACGTACATGGCCCATTTTCACTACCAAAATATCATAAAATGTTATCAAACTACTTCATTTCGTTCGGAATCTGGAGTGATTTCCACAGATGGACGGACATAGCTAAATCGACACAGAATTTCATGATGATCAAGAATATATAAACTTTATGGGATCTAAAATGTATACTTTGAGGTATTACAAACATAATGACGAACTTAATATACCCTCCATACTATAGAGGAAGGTATAAAAATCACCCCGAATATCGGGAGGTGCCGAAAACGTGGACGGTTATATCTCATTTTCAAAACCAACCATCCTGGACACAAAACAAATTGTTGTGAACTCTACGTCCAATGATGTGGGCTTTATCATGATTCCAACAGAAAGATGATGACTATATATTCTTCATTGGATCTACGATGAATATTTAGGGATTTTACACATGGAATGACAAAATAAATATACCTTCATTTTCTAGGTGAGGAGGTTATAACAGCTGATTGTGTATTCTGTAGTACTTTTACGAATTTCCAAAAACATCGTCTTATGGTCCATCTTTAATAGACTGATTGAAAAAATTAATAGAACCTAACATAAACAAGTAAAAAAGTTGAATACCCTCCACCATTTGGTACAAATTTGGCAAGATTTAAGAAATAAAATCCATTAAAAATTCTGTTAAAATCTTAAAAATACCAAATGTTACAGTATATTAGGGTCTATTCGACCACGTGGACCTGCATAGGCAACTTTTGTAATAAGATATAATAATAATCAAATGCTTAACTTAAAAAATAAAATCGGTTTATAATGTAGCTAAAATAAATAAAATACAGAATATAGGGAGGGAGGTTCCATACGTGGACCTGCACAGACAATTTCCTGGCATAGGCTGTAGTATCCATTACGAACTTCAAATACAAAATTCAGGTAAATAATGTCGCTAAAATCATCCAAATAAGGATAATCGGGGGTACCCTTGTATGGGGACTATACGAAAACGTGGACCCACATGGCTCATTTTCTGTCTTAGGCTTCTGTATTAGGCTATAGTATCCATTACGAACCTCAAACACCAAATTTGATACAATTCCGGTATACCGAATATCGGGTATTCATTTCGTTCGGAACCTAGAGTGATTTCCACAGACGGACGGACATTGATAAATCGACATAGAATTTTATGCTGATCAAGAATATATATGCTTTGTGGAGTCTAAAATGTATATTTCGAGGTGTTACAAACGAAATGACAAACTTAATAAACCCTCCATACTACGGTGGTGGGTATAAAAGTAAAATTTCGATACTTATTTGTAAATAAAAACTTCGTTTTTGGATTTTTTGTACCTTTTAAGTTCGACGTTCCAAGGACGATACGATATCTGATTTCACGTATTACTTAGGAACCACACGCGAAATTTGAGACAATATATTGAGTACTTTATTGTACCTTTGAGTACGAATTAAAAAAAAAATCCAATAGTCTGATCGGAAAAAAAGAATGAATACAGCAAAGTATAAATTTGTAAAAATATTTAATAATACTGAATTAGCATAAAGCGTAATCCAATCATGGTGCGTTGAAGCCCCTTACTATAAGCATAACATTTTCTCATACAACTTCAACCAACCACAACATTCTTCCTTACAAACTGGAAAAAAATTGTTTCTTCTTTTACAACTTTCTAAATATGTATGCGTTTTGTAACTTACCCTTTGGCCAGCCGGTATTTTCAAATTTAAATTTCTAATAACATCCTCTTGCTGTCCTTCATAGCGCAAACTGACATTTTCGAAAGATATATCGCCGCGTTGTGGCCACGAAATTGCTACGGGTTTGTCTGTCAAAAAAAAAAAAAAGTAAAGCAAAGCAAAAAAATAAATAAATGAAAAGTGTAAGTAACGTCAAAAAACCCAACAACATAAATAGATAAATAAATAATAACACTAAAACACCAGAGAGTGTGTGGGTGTGGTAGCACATACACACACACACACACAAAAACGACCACAACGCAAATCGGTGTGGTACTGGTGGTGGCATATCAAATATTTTGCACAATTCTAATTTTATTTTGTTAGGTTTTTTCCACAACAACAATCGGGATATGTTTCATATTTAAACAAAAAAAGTGTTAGTAGATGAGACTGATAGACCAAAACAACCAGGCCACAAATTATGGGAATCAACAAAAAACAAACAAACAGACACACACACACACACTCACAAAATTTATGGCTTAAATAAACCACCAACCAAACAGTGGCAGGAATTCAAGTAAATGTTAGTCACATAGGGTAGCCCTTTGGGGCAATTGCATGGTGGCCGCAGTGTTTGTTTGCGGTAGTGTGGGTGCAGCTTAGCATTTGCAGTGAAATCCTAATAGAATATTTAAAATATTTGCTGGTAGGTAAATATTTTGTGGACAAAAACGACTGTGTGGTATCGTACGATTATTTTAAATAATGCTGTAGGTTACATATTGGAATTATAAACCCCCGTAATACGGGGAAGCATATTGAAAAATATGCACAAAAATGTGTATACATTTATAAAAATATATTTATTATGAGATTTATTGAAACTTGTTTTTATTCTAAATTTGGAAACAGGAATTTAAGGAAGAGAAAAGTAGATAGTTCGAAGTAAGTATTTCATTTAAAAAATATTTTTCTTCGTCCTATAAACCTATACTATATTTATTCCTTAGATATATAGCATTAACATGAGAACTGGCAGGGAAGGTCTTTATACTCAAATTCCATATTCATCGCAGGTTCCTGGCAAAGAGAGATATATTTAGATATTGCAAGTTGTAACGAATCGCTGACTTGTATCGCAAGTTATGACAGATAAAAGTATTGAAAATGGTTACCCTTTGTGAATGAGGTACCAGAAGGGGTTCACAGATATATATATAATCTAAACAACAGATATTCTTTGAGCCTTTGCGGGGGAGGTACCAGAAAGAGTGGACCGATATTTCCCATCTTCACAACAGATCTGGAGGAGGTACCAGAAGAACTTGACCGATATTATTCATTTTTCCACCTTACCTAGAACTGACGCTAATATTAGGATTAGCAAAGGTGGAGCAAAATCGGGTTATTGCTTCTCTTTCTGTGCAGATTTTTTTTTTTTTTTTTTTTGAAAATTTCGACCTTTGTGGGGGATGTACCAGAAGGAGTGGATCGATGTATTCCATCTTGGCACCAGATCTTGTATTAATGAAATTATTACAATGTGTGAAAATTGAAGACAATCGGACTCTTACATCAAATGTTATAAGAATTGTAATTATTCAAAATTCTGACCCTTTGTGGGGGAGGTACTTGATGGAGTGGACCGACATTGTCCATTTTCGCACCTGACCTAGCACTGATAAAAATATTAGGATTCGCTAAGATGGAGCAAAATCGAATTATCCTTTCTCTTTCTGTGCAATAAATTATTTTGTTTGAAAATGTTGACATTTTGTGTGGGAGGTACCAGAAGGAGTGGACCGATATTGTCCATCTCTGAACTCGATCTAAGTTTGACAATAATATTACGATGTACCAACTTTGGATCAAATGGGATACTCCCTTTGAGAGTTATGGTGCGCACCAGCCAGCCAGACAGACGGATGGACATCGCCAGATCGACCCCAAATGTCCTGAAACAGATTTCGTCCAAAGAAACCTAGGGTCTAAAACAGTTATTTCGACTAGGCACGTTTTGGCCGTATCAAATGATATATACCCTCTGTAGCCATATGGCTGAGGGTATAATGAATACATTTTTGATGTGAATGTTAAAGAAAAAGCGATTATAGCATTAGAATACAGGTGCAGCCCCAGCAGAGAATACAAATTTCTAACAAGTGCCTGCAAAAAGTCCACATTAATGGAAAAGCGAATATTGAATGATTAAAAAAAAGGACGAATGATTGATTTTATCATTGTCGATACAACAGTCGACGTGAAGTAGTTTTTAGGGAATATCTTTCGCCGTAAAAAATTGTGACGTCATGGTATTTTTTAGTCGACGTTGATATTTTATCAATTTTGTGGTAGATTTTTGACCACGAAAATAACAACACCAAAACTATTTGCAAATATTGACATTATTTCCGAAACTAGACAGATCCTAGTGCTAAAAACCTCAATGCTGTGGCCAATTGGAACAGCTCTAGTTTGGTAAAAACACTTCGATTTTTTTCGAATTTTTTCCAGAGGTTGGTATTTTTATCTGATTCCGGGAAACTATTTTTTTTCTTGGGGGACGGACCCGGGGCCTCTGATTTTTGACTCGAAATCCTGGTTCAAGACCCGGATCGAGTTACGCGATATAGACAATATAGGTTTGAAAGCTTATGAAAATACCTATCCAAAAAATTGTCACATGACCGCCGAAGACCGGCTACTTACAACAACTGATAAATTTAGAAAACTTTAGTTGGCGTAGCCGTTTGTACATACCCAGAAGTGAATATCTCTGGACCCAGAAAAGGTATTAACACAAATTGTAGCATTTTGGAAAGGTAAGAGTGTCAGCTATAATTTGACATCAAAATGGATCCTTCTTCGACTTTGTGGGGGTTTTATAAAAAATCAGAGCCTTAAAAATCGATAATTTGACAAAAACTTTTGAACCGCTTTAAATAAGCCCATCAAGTGACAACTTGTTGGAGAGGTATTTTCATACCCGATACCTATATTGTCTATATTTGGTAAGTGGATCCGGGTCTAGCCCGGGTCTTGAACCCGGACTTTCGGGTCTAAAAATCAGGGGTCTCGGATCCGTTCCCCTAGAAAAAAATAGTTTCCCAAAATCATGGTAAGTATACTTAGCATAGGAAAAAAATCTGAAAAATTGAAACGTTTGGCGAAATTTTTATTAGCACATGCTGAAAGCAGTCCTTTTTAATTCTGAAGTAATTTAAACATCAAAAAGAACACATTACGTACATATTTAATTAAAATATAACTAATTGGCCTCAGACAATGTAAACAATTTTTTTACATTGTCTGCAAACAATTTTTTTTTATACCCTACACCACAAGGTGGTCAGGGTATTATGTCTTTGTGGATTTGTTTGTAACAGGCAGAAGGAAACGAGATAGACCCATAGTTCCTTTTGATGATCTGCATAGAATCACATTCTGAGTCGATTTATGCACGTCCGCCCGTCCGTCTGTCCATGTATTTTTGTGAACAAAATACAGTTCGCATTTATTACCCGATCCAGATGAAATTTTCCAAAAAACATTTGTTTGGCCCAAGGACGAACCCCATTGAAATTGGAGATACTCGGTAAAATTTTAGATATAGCTCCCATATATATCTTCGTCCGATTTGCCTTTTATTGTGCACCAAACGTGTAATATCAACCCGAATAGTATGGAATTTTGCACGTACAACCAAACTAGGCCTGAAAATAAGTGTGTCAAATTTGATCGAAATCGGTTCAGATATAGCTATGCTCCAATATATATTGTTCATTCGATTTATTATTTTAGTCCTCCGAAGCCGTAATATGCACTCTGTAACAACAATATTTTGGGAAATATATCAAATACAGCTCAGGAATACCTTTGCTAAATTTTATCGAGATCTGTTCGGATTTGGATATAGCTCCTATATATATCAAATGGGCAATACAAGTCCGAATTTAAAAGATACAAATACTTCGGCATATTTAGTCTTTTGAACTTTAAATTATAATTATAATCATAGCGTATATGATTGAATTTTCCCATAAAACTTTTAATTTTTATGTGGAGCTCTACTAAATTAGCAAAGTGGTGTAGGGTATCATAAAGTCGGTCCCGCCCGACTTTAAGACTTTCTTTACTGGTTTTTAAACTGTCGATGTCGCTTCTATACCTTACCATAATACCATTTTTGAATCGAAGCTACGGCGATAGCGATTTGCACATAATGTCGACGGCGACTATAGAATCGACAACCGTAATTGGGCCGATTATTTTGCGTAATGATTATTCAAGCTTTCAGTCCGTTATGGGTGAAGTTCCGAAAGGGTTGGTTAATATTTTTTACTTCGTAACTTATGTCTGATATAAATATTAAAAGGTATAGGCCATATCTGGCCTATATCGACTACTCCCTGTACTTTATATGGGATAATTTTTGAAAAATTTCAAATGTGCGCGATGTACCAGATATAATGGACCAAAGTATTGCACTTCATATAATACTGATAAAAACATTAGGATGTGCAAAATTTAAAGAAAATCGAACAGTTATTTGCAATTCTATAGGAGTGGACCGAAATATATATTAGATCTATGGTTAACAGAAATATAGATGCACGAAGTTATAATTTTTTAAAATGTTGAGCACTCGTGGGGGATGTACCAGAAGGAATCAGCCGATAAATTCCATACTCTTATAACTATGGCAGTTTGGGTTATTCCAAATTTCGACCCCTTGTGTGGGAGGTGCCAAGTACCATCTTGCGTTAATAAAAATATTGGGATGTGTAATATTTTAAAACAAGCAAACTTTAAGTTCACATTTTGTAATGGTTATTATTAGTCAAAAGTTTGTCCCTTTGTGGAAGAGGAGCTTGATGGGAAGGGCCGATGTTGACCATTTTTGCACATGACCAAGCACAGAAAAAAATTGTGATTTTCAAAGTTTGGACAAAATTGGATGATCCTTTCTTGCTCTATAAGGTGAATTATTTTCTGTGAATATATTGACCTTTTGTTGAGGTGTTACCAGAAGGAGTGGACCTACAGAATGAGATGTAAAAACTGCAACCATATTCAGACTGCTGTCATTTCCAAGCCACTCGTCCAGTGACAGCTCATTATATTGTTTGCAAGCGTACAA